AACCACTGTTTCATCACAGCAAGCGCTCATTGGCCAGAGTTGCTCCATTACCTGGCAACTTCAGAAACAAGCAAACACATCCCACAGCACTCTCCTTACTGACGTCCAGGCCCTGATGTGTGCTGTGTATAGCTGCCATCTAAGTCAGCTTGGGGTAGAAGGCCAAGTTCCCAGAAACAGAGGAGTTGCAGGATGTGAAGCGGGCTTGCTGCTTGAAGACAAGTCATAACGGACAAGTCTCCACATGAAGACCACCCCCTCACCATAATTTTCTTCTTTCCTCCAGACAAAACTAGCCATAGATCTAGAACAGGCATTATTTTCTTCAAACCGGCAAGGCAGAGGAAGGTGACATTATCACCAAGTTGCCACGTAACAACCAAGCTCCCTGTCCTACTCCACAGGGAAAGCACATACCAGGGACCCTCCTTCAGGCTTGGCTATTTCCACAGCACAGCAGATGTGGCAAACAGAACATTTCCTTTAAAACTCAGTGGAGGGGCCCCTGCACACACAGAGAGGCTTCTGCAGTCATCAGCTGTCCTCCCCCAAATCTCTCCTTGTTCTGAGGGACAAGGCCACACTCAATGTCTGATCTCAAGCACAAGAGATCCTCTTGCTTGCAGGGTTTCCAGATGCAGAGCACATTGGTTCAGTTTGGCTTGTCAGATGGAGTAGGAAGGCCTCTCCCTTGGATGTGCATTTCCTCACATGAGGTCCAAGGACAAGTTACCACACTCCAAGCAGCACAATCCATAAATCTTCAGGCAAATCCTTGCAAAGCTTGTGAAGCTTTATTGTCGCCACAACAAAGTGGCCTCATGGTTAATGCAATGGGCCAGCTAGTCCCCCTGCCAAACCATGCTTGCTGGAAGTGGCTCTGAAGGGGCAGACTGCTGTCCCAGGGAAAGCCAGGCCTGGGTCTCATTTTTTGATTGTTTTGAGTGTGCAGTCAAGCTCAAAGCCATTTAAAATGACAGGTCCTTCTCTATCACCAAGCACAAAGCCCAAACTGCTCTGATGAAACTATCTAGCTGGCAACCTGGTGCCAAGTTAGGGTTTCACTGTTGACAGGGTAAAGAAATCCAGCCAGAAGTTTATTTATTATTATTTTTAAACTGGGACCAGAAGTTTGGGTGGAGGACAGGGAACTGCTCTGGCAGTTCTTGTAGTAATTTTGTTAGTACCATGAAGCCAGTAATCACACTGCAGAAGAGCCAGAGACAGCTCCTCTGTTTCCCAGTTTACAGTCTTAGCACATCCCTACAGGAATCCCCCACACTACCATCCAGCTTTAATACTCATTCCTATTTTTAGCCTAAACATCCCTAATGGACCCTTCCTCTACCATGTGCTGCTTACTTCCAACTCTCCTAAAGCCCTCCTGTGGCTTGAGCCAACTCCATGAGGGCCAGGCAGCTCCCCCATCAAGAAATTTCACAGACAAGCAAGTGACCCACAGCACTGAGCTTACCAGGAACTACTGGCTCACAGAGAGCCAGGATCAGCCACCTTTCCTTGGACAAGCGATCTCCCTGGCTGGCTGCTGCTGCTGCTTAGGGCAGTGCTGGCTTAGCACCTGACTCCTACACCACACTCACCTGGCAGCAGGGCCTAGGCCAACTCTGACACTTACCTGCTCCTAAACCACCATCTGCAAAGGAAGGGTGGCTCCACCTGGGAGTCATGGCAAGGCAAGCAGGTCTCTAACCCCGTGCTGATATGGTGCATCATGCAGACAAGCTGCACCTGAGCCACAGGGCTAATCCCTGTCCCCTGCTCCTCTGGCCCAGCTACGCACAGGCATTTTCTTATTAAAATTGGGGGTTGGGGAAGGGTGAGAAATCTCATTCTTAGTAAATCAGACGGTTGCATTTTAGAAAAGCCCTTTGGATTACAGGCTGAGCATTGCTTTCTGGCTGTGAGGGGGTTGTGGAAGACAGGGACCTTTTATAACACAGATGCCTATTGTGCTTCGAATTTGCAAGTAAAGATGAGTCCCTTCTCAACAACTTTATTGTGTGTCTTAAGATGTTAAATACCAGGCCTCATCTAACATATATATTTTTTTTTAATCCAGGCATTTCCATGACTTTGTCATGTGAAAACTGCTCCTACCCACCTTACTCTTTTTTTCCCTTCTCCTTTTCTTTTTAGCGACAAAACAGAAAGGGCCTCAAGGGCTGGCTGAGCCTGGGGAGGAGTGGGTTGTGAAAGCCAGGAAAAATCCCGACTGAGGCATGGGAACCAGCCCCAGCAATGAGCACAGCTGCTATAAGATGAGGTTTTCAGCTTTAAATATTCATGGACTCGGGTGGCCAAAGCCCCCCACTTTAAAATCCCATCTGTCCTGCTACATTGGATAAGTATTTCAACGTTGCAATAACCTCACAAAGTTCTCTGAGAATTTAAAGACTTGGAAAATAGCCAGACTCAGTTTGGAGGGTATAAGGCACCACATGCAATATAAATACGATGCTCAGGGTTTTGGGGTGGGGTGTGGGGGTGCCGGGGTTAGTTTGTCTTTTTCAGCTAATACTAAACACGTTATTGTGGAGAAAAACTGATACAGCAATTGTAGGTAGGACGAGAGGAATTCCTCCGCAGGGCTGGTGCCAGGGAGCTCGGCAGCGGAGCAACAGCAGTATTTTGGAGTACAGAGACCACATTCATGTTACGCTCTCCCTGTGCATCGCTATGAAATGTTAATATCCTCCTGCAAGCGCGCCTTTCAGCGGGCCTCTGCGGGCGCCGGCGCAGGCATCGGGGAGGCTGCGAG